ACACATCTCATCACTCCCTTCCCTTTCTCTCTTCTGTCTGTCCCCCATTTGATAGTATGAAAACTATGTGGGAGGTACAGAAAAAATAGGTTCATACCATTTATGGGAGTATTAAATTGTTGCAAACTTTATGGATACCCATCAAAAGCCTTAAGATAAGATGTTTATACTCTTTGACCCAATAATTCAACTGCTAGAATTTTATCCTAATGGGATAATCCAAATTTTGTACAAATATATTTATATGCAAAGATATTAGTGAATTAGATAATTGTGACTACTGATTAGAAATAATGCAAATTCTACTAAGAGGATACAGCCATACAGTATAATTCTGTGCAGCCATTAACATAACATTTTAGAAGAATACTTAATTATACATGACATATTTATAAAACAATACTAAGAGATAAATCTAGGTAAAACGTACTATGAGGGGGGAACTAGATGGACATACACCAATATGTTTTAACAATTGTTTAAGATTAGAGATGACTTTTCTATTTGAGCTTCTCTATATTTCCCAAATTTCTTTAATTAATATATTTTATTTTGTAATAATACAATAATCTTATAAAATTTTAAACAATAAAGCTGATTATAATCTTTTAAAAATATTATTTAGTAAAGATGGAACAATAGTCTCTGTTAAGGGTACACCTAAAACCACTATAGAAGAAGAAGGAAAGAATAAACTGTTAACAGAGAACTTGGAAACAAGGTTAAGCAGCAAAAGCAATTTGATGAAGATAGGCTTCTTGTTGTTGTTGTTGTTATGTGCCATTGAGTCGGACCTGACTCATAGCAACCCCTCCTTGGATTTCCAAGGCAGTATCACTACGGAAGTTGATTGCCCCATCTTCTTTCCGAGGAGTGGCTGGTGGGTTTGAACTGCCAGCCTTCTGGTTAGCAGCCAAGTGCCTTAGGCACTACACTACCAGAGCTCCCAAAAATAGGCTTAAGTATACGTAAATGATTACTTTCGTAACATTTTAATGATGACATTATCTTGAGAGGAGAAAGCTAATGCTTTTCTGTAAGTTTCAAGGCATAATTTTCAATTGCAGGGTGGGACAGGAGGGATCTCTGTTAAATCAGCCTTGGTAAATAAGCAATCTCTTTGGTAGATAACTTCATGGACTAGGGCTTCCCTTTTTAAAGGACTTGGGCTACTCTTGAGTATAAATTCATACATAATTCTCAATGTATGAAAAAAATAAAGCTCTTCATGAGACACATACAGCCAGAAGCTGTTTCCTCTCCTTTAACTATTTTGTAGTGAAGTAGATTAAAAGATGTGAAATGAGATACATGAATGTGAAAGTGCTTTATAAACTTGAATTACTTTGTAAATCTATAACCATTTTGTCAGAAAATAGATTATCACACTCCACTTCTAGTAATTTCCATGTGACTTGTCACAGAGGTCTTATGTTTACACAGAAAATAAATTTTCAAAAATTTTGAAGTTACTTCCTTTCTCATCACATTTAAGTAGTGAGGTGTCTCTTGGCTACCAAAAGTAGACAACTGCCTAGTGCAATATCTGTTACGTCATCCTTAGAGCACTGCACTTCTATGAGCACAATGTAGCTTAAACCCACAATGGATACAATAATTTCCTCTCTTTAAATATGGGTAAAGTGTTAGGAAACATCAAGTCCTCTAGTGATTTAAAAGTCCCAGACAGAGGTTCAAAAAATATGAGCAAAACCCAGCTTTTGTAGCTGTCATGTGGATTCAGCTGTTCCACAAAGTTCTTAGAAATTCTAGAGCTGCTCAGATAAGGTTTGGTTAGGTGAGGATAGTTAATGCTTTGTTTGACTCATCTACTATCACCCATATAGTAAAATGAAATGAGTAGTAGTAGGTTCAGTCTGTGTAGCTTGATGGGCCTACAATTTGGCATTACTAGTTTACCCTAAGGAGGCTGGCAGTTTGAACACTAGAATGAACCGAGATTGTGAGGGCTCAGGAAGCTTGAGCTTTTGCTCTAACTTCACCCCTAATTAAGGGTGTGATCTTGGACAAAGTCACTTAACCTCTGTAGATGCCAAAATTCTTATAAATAAAATGTGAACCAATGAGAAAGTATATTAGAAAACATTTTGTAAAATTAAAAGTACCAAGCATATAATCCTTCCATCCCAAAAAGACTATGAACATCACTTAAATGTATCACATTATAGAGGAACACACACAAATGAGATCTAACTGTGATGGTAAACAGATTTACAGAGTTGTGTCAATTTATGGAGGACAATAGTTCTGATAAACACAAGGACTGTGCACCAACCCATGCCCTCAGGACATTCAGATTTTATTGGGATATTTCCTTTGAATGGTATGGAGATTATCCAACAACATATCCTAACTCAAAAGAGAGAGTACTGAATGTTGAAAAGCCAGCAGGCCTTCAGAGAAACTGGAAAGAGATGCATTAAAATAGGCATCAAGCTCCAGACAAAAGTTCTACAAAGCTGTGAAAGAGGGTCAGAAAGAAGAAATTCTTGAGTGGGGAGTGGAAGAGGTCTCTGAAAGTCATCCTTGGTAAACGAATAAATAATCTCTTTGGTAGACAGCTTCATGGACTAGGGCTGCCCTTTTTCAAGGACTTATGCTACTCTTGAGTCTAAAAGGCTGAGTCACAAACAATGCTAAGCAACTAAAATAGCTTCTTGTTGAATAGTAAAATTTTATTTTCAAAGGGGAAGTAGGGGGTGTGACACGCATGATAATTAGCAGGCTACTACTGACTGTGCAACCACTACCACCAGAAAAGCCAGATGATGTGTCAGACATATTAAAAAACGAAAGTATGCCACAGTGAATAGCAGTTTTCTCCCCCAAGCACTTTACTTCTGTAATGCAATAAACACAGGAACTGAATTTTTTATAAGGTCCCTGAAATACAACAATAATAGCCCCATTCTCTATTGAAATAATCAAAGAAATGTAAATACCAAGACTGTGAGAACATGAAAAGCCTCATTGGAAAAAAGGTGGGCCTGAATTCTTCCATTCTGGAAGGGTGAAGTCCTGAGTCGATGATGCTGGGATGAGACGCTGAAGACTCCAGAGAAGGAAAACAAGTATAATAAAGTTGATACACTGATAGCTAAATAGCCTCCCTCTTAGAACTGATGCTAACTTTGTGGTTTTGATTTGAAAGATAAAGAGAAACATTTTACAGTATTTTAGTAATGAAAAAATCATGAAATTTGGCCCTAATCTGGCTCTTCCTTCATTTTTATTTTTTTCTGAGGAACTAGAATGCTTATATTTAAAATTTATATGTTTTGTATCTTACAGAATATTGTCTAATGCATGGAAGTATTACTGAGCCATTTTCCTTTTCTCTGTAAGAGATTAAATTGAGTGTTCCTTGGCCTTATGACCCATCTTCTTCCTAACCCGAAATTTCCCTATTTACAGCTTTACCTTGGTTCAAAGCCCAGTTTATGGTAATTGATCCTTCAAAATTCTTCACATTCATCTCTCTTGAGGAAGCAACTACCTTCTACCTAGGATTACAGGTGTCTGTGTACATATGTTAACTTTCCTATTATACATGAGGCTCTTTGAGAGAAAATACAAAGAGAATGGACTTTGGAGTCAGAAGATTCTGGCATCTAATCCTTCTGTCTATTAGTGGCTCAATGACCTAGGACAAATTACTGAACTTCTCTGAGCCTCAGTTTTCTAATCTGCGAATGGGAATTATCACTTCATATGTTTGTGTTGTGAGCCTTAAATTAGATTCTATGCTGGCACAATGTTCTTTTCCTCCCTTTCTATGTACCTGAAGGCATCATAGGTTCTAGATAAATGTATGTTTAAAGGCTAGACAAGAAATAAATAAGGTAGTAAAAATGGAGGAGTTAGAAGCAATCTGTTTGAGAAAGGGTCTCCTCAGTTCTCCTAAGGTTAAATTGGAGGCTATACCTCCTATAACATAGACCATCTCTCAGTCAGTGAACTCCACCAACAAGAATGAGTAAACACAAATTCTAAGTATTTTACCCAGTTCACTGACTGAAAAAATATTGATGTGATTATATTTCATAATTATAATCTTTACACTCATAACGTCCCAGGTACTTTAGAGGATAGATCTTGATCTATTTTCTATATGAACATATATAAGCTAGAAACTTATAGATTGATTTACATCCTGCACATATTTATCAAACTAGCATCAGTATCCTTGGAAGCAAACTCTTTTCTGAGTATTTGTTTGTTAAATGCCATATCCTTAAAAGAAAATTGAAAAAAAAGGGCACAACAGACATTAATTATGAGATTTCAACAGTTAGAAGAAATGAGTTAAAATTAAAATAGCTTCAAACAATACCTCAATCTCAGTAAGCATTTTATATGTTCTAATCTCAATATTTTTCTTCTAGCTGATTGTGTAAGAAGTAACCTATCACATTGTATGCATTAGCTAAGTCATTATGTAGATAAAAAGGTAAAACCATCCTGAAACAGGAAACCAATATTCTTCCTGTTTAATCAACAAATCTAAAAATTTATTCTTTTCATCTATTTACTCTTGCTCTTGTCCACCGCAACACACTGCTCCACATATTCAGCATGGTTTTATGACAAAGAGAAAATTTTCATGAGCCACTTTTGTATCCCCACCCTCTTAATGAAAGAGGAGGAAAATTTGTTTCATACAGAAGGCGTAAATTATATGAATTAGAACTGCCACCTAAGTGTGGGCTAACGCGACTAAGAGGGATTTTACCTACATCCATTCAGTCAGTTTATTGGGGTTTATAGAAATTCCAAAGAGTCATCAGAAGAGGAAAAATAAAGGTAATGATTTTTGCCACACAGGTAGAGTCTTTGAAAGTATGTGTAATATGTAAAACATTTTGTTTGACACCCCCATAACACTTTTTCCAGAATTAACAGTATAAATTGCTTCTCTTGTTCAAGAGCTTCCTATAAACCTCTTATCACTACTCACAGCAACCTCAACTCCTGCAACAATGTACAAGATGCAACTCTTGTCTTGTATTGCACTAACTCTTGCAGTCGTCACAAACAGTGCACCTACTTCAAGCTCTAAAAAGGAAACTCGGCAACAACTGGAGCAATTGCTTCTGGATTTACAGATGGTTAGGACCATAGTTCAAGTAAGTATATACTTTCTTACTAAAATTATTACTTGATTTCTAGTGGGAGTTGTGTTTTTTAAAAAAATAACAGTATGTTCTGTTTTCTCAGAATCAAAAGACCTCCACATTCTCCATGATGCTCATATTTAAACTTTATGTGCCTACAAAGGTAAGTATGATTTTCTATGTTGAATTTATGTGTTAAAACTCAAAGCAATAGAAAAACTTGAACATTGATTAGATCAATATTACCTTTTCTTAAAGAAAAGAATTAGCAAATTGAATGCCTTTTTTTAAAAATCTAAATTTGATAATGTGACTTTTGCTAAAAGGACTTTGCCTACAATTTTTGGATACACTTGTGTGTGTTTTGTGATGGGGAGAATTGGGAAGAAAAGAAAAGGAGAATAATATTCTTACTTTATTTCTGGGACAATTTAAACAGAACATTATGTTAATTTATTGTTTTATTTAAAATGCAAAACTCTACAGATATCTGATTTTATCATTATACCATACAGAATATCAAAGTTGATTTCCACGCAGTCCACTTTAAAATATGCTTTGTTTTAGGAAACATTCCTAAGACCCTCTCTTTAAGAGGCAACATAGCACAATCATTAATAACAGCACAGATTCTGGAGCCACGTGATCTGAACTGAAATCCAAGTTCTGGGATCACTTTGTGACTCAATTTCTTATCTTTTTATGTGAATAATAGTTATACTCAGTTTATATGGTTTTGTGAGGATTAATGAGTAAATGTAAAGCACTCAGAACACTGAGTAATCACCATATAAGCCTTAGTTATTAAACGAATTACAGGCAAATTCTCACTGGGGTGTTAAAAGTAAAATTTTGGAATTGTACATCTTTTATGGCAATAAATATGGAGATTTATGATGCTGTATGACCTATTTCCAAAACTAAAAGCTTGATTTGGTTGTTCTGGGGTCTAGATAGATAAGCGTTTATTATCAAAGTTCATGGAGCTACAATAGAACTTTAAAGTTTTCTAGGAGTTAGGCCAGCCAACAGAGACTGGAGCAAAACTTTGGTGCCAAAAATAGCTTGTCCCAGGGTGAATCTAAGGCAGGGGGTGGGAGGGAGAGGAGAATTGGAAGTGACAAAAATGCAATCTTATTACTGATCTGCATTTATTAATTCAAGATAATTCCCTTCCAATCTGTTCTTTCAAAAGATGAAAAGGTAAAAGCTTATAGAGGCTTCTCCAGTTTAACCAGAGTCACATGACTCTTACCTCCTGCAACAGAGAAGCCACTAGACCCTGTTTTCTTCAGGAAATAGCTCTATGTTGCTCATAACAAAAACATAAGCCCTGAAGTTGTAGTAGCAAGTTGAAAGGGTAGTAGATGGAAATGTCAAGAGATGTGTTGTCTAGTTTTACTTTTTACTCTAAAGATTGTTAGAAAACATAAGAATATGTGTGTAATTTAAGGGGGAGGGAATTCTTTGAAATCTAACAGTTTCTAAATGACAATTCAAATTCTATTTGAAAACAAAAGTATTGTGATAAACTTCACTTACTTGTTCATTTTACCACCATTTATTTCATGTTTGCAAAAGATTTCAGAAAGCCATAAAAATATTTAATTCTAAAAGATGCTATATTAATGTGATGGAAAGAATTAAAATTTAATCTTGGCACAACTACCAGGGAACTTTCATTCTGGTTCAATTGACTTAAGTAGCCTTGGGAAGACACTTAAATTCTGAGATTTAGTTTCCTTATCTGTAAAATGTTTGTAAAATAGGGATAGCTATATTGTACTGCCTATCTCAAAGGGTACCGTGAAACTTAAATGGGCTTATTTAGGAGAAAACACTTTGAAACTATAATGTGCCATATAAATATGAAGTATTACTTTATCTCTCTCTCTCTCTATGTATATATATGTATACATGTATATATGCATTATATATATAATTTTGTTCTTACTATCATGTATATATTTCTATAGGATGTTGTTAGTTGCCATCGCGTCCATTCTGTCTCATGGCGACTCCATGGTCTGCAGAGTAGAACTACTCCATAGGGTTTTTAAAGGCTGTGACTTTGGGAAGCAGATCACCAGGCCTGTCTTCCAAGGAATATCTGGGTGGGTTTGAACAACCAACCTTTCAGCTAACAGTCCAGCACTTAACTGACCCAGACAAGGAATTTCCTATATAACCTCCTGCAGTGTCTAAATTAGGAGGCCCATCCAAAAACAAAGGAGCCCTGGTGGTGCAGTGGTTAAAGCCTATCAGCTGTTAGCCAAAAGGTTGACAATTTGAACCCACCAGTTGCTCTATGGGAGAAAGATTTAACAGTCTGCTTCCATAAAGGTTTACAACTTTGGAAACTCTTTGGGGGAGTTCTACTCTGTCCTTTAGGGTCACTACCAGTTGGAATTGATAAGATGACAATGAGTTGTTGGTTTTGGCCTAAGAGGAAAAAAGAAGCCTTCAACTATTGTAACCTTTCATTTGGTTTGACAACTAATGCATCTTAATGTAGTTATTGTAGAAAAGTAAAAATTTCAGACACAGTTATATATGACTGCTCTAGGTTTTACTGGGAGCTCTGGTGGCGTCATGCTTAAGCCATTTGACTGCTAACCAGAAGGTTGGTGGTTCAAACCCACCAGCCACTCCTCAGAAGGAAGGTTGGGCAATCTACTTCCATAGTGATACTGCCTCAGAAACCCAAGGAGGGGTCGGATCCAACTCACTGGCAGTGAGTTTGGTTTTGTTTTGTTAGGTTATGTTGAGAGTCAATAACATGTAGTTACAATGCCCTGATCTGTCAAATGTTGGGACTGTCATAGATGTCATCCAAGGGCTCCTCTGTCCCTAACTTTCTAAGATTCTCAACTCTCAGCTTATCAATGTTAAAATCACAAAATGTGATTCTCACACTTCCACATTCTTACTGCTTTGGTTCTAAATGATTTCTAGGCAGACTGGTGGAGCAGTCAGCCTATACCTGTGATTTGCAAACATGCAGATGTTTTTCAAAGCCAAATTAAGCTGAAATTAATGATCCATTAGTCTTTAACTAACTGTAATGCTAGTCATGATTAGTTGAGTCCTAGGTTTTCCAGATTTAAAATATAACATTGGCCCATCTTGACAGCAATGCTGAAGCAGGGGGAATGGTGAGAGCTATGCACTTGCATGCTGAATAAAATAAATTGGAGATTATTTTCTTACTATGATCTTCAGCACAAAATGAGGTGGCAATTATTTTCTATTATTTTTTTTAGGTCACAGAATTGAAACATCTTCAGTGTCTAGTGGAAGAGCTCAAACCTCTGGAGGATGTGCTAAATGTAGCTGAAAGCCCAGAAAACACCAGGGAATTAATCAGCAATATCAATGTAACAGCTCTGGAGCTAAAGGTGAGGTATTACTTTATTTGTTCTCCAGCATATCAAATAAATGAAGAAGAAAATACTGCATTTCAAAGTGTTTAACATTTTGGTATTTTGTGAAGTAATTATGTATTTGATTACGCAACATTTTAAGTTCACTGTGGACATGAATCATTTTTAATGTTAGATGAACTATTGTGGAGCTGGAGAGTAGAAGCTGAAGGGTTTCCTCCTATCATTCCCTCAAAGATGAGCCTCAAACCCCAGATGAATAATTACCTGGTACTGACCAGCCACACTCAGTCAGACATTGACATTACCGCAAAGCTGGGAGTAGGCACTTAATTGAATTTCACAGAAGGCAGACAGATTTTATTATTCATATTTTAATTCCTTCCTATCTTTTACCAGAATAGGCAACACTGAAACATTTTTAAATGGCATTTCCTTTCACTTGGGGGAAGGACCAATCATATAAGATTTGTCTCAAAATATGGCAGCCATTAAAATGGCAATGAACTAGATAAATACCTCTTTCTTTAGAGGTAAGGCCCCTAGGGCCTAAAGTATTCTTAAACGCATAGGAGACTCAGGTGATGTGAAAGAGATTCACGGTTCTCTTTTCCCATCTCATCTTCCAAAGTAAAAAATTAATGAATTAATAGGTATCCTAAATAAGCAGCATAATTTTAGTTACAGTAGTAAAACCAGGTTTCTCAAAGTACATAGCTCTACTTGTTTCCAAAATAATAGGAGCTTTATTAGTGGAATATTTTCTTTCAGTCTAATTATATCTTTCAGCATTGACATCAACATCATCTATAGCAAGAGATTTGCTCTAAAATTCCTGATCAATATCAGAAACTCATTCTAAACTTTTGATATAAATGTAATTATCTGAAAATCAGCAAAACGGTTTACAAAAAGCCAGACTTTTTAAACATCTCAATAGAGTACAATCTTTAACTAATTATGTATAAAAGAGTATATAACACTAAAACTGCACTTGCTCCCAAGACAGGAATTACTTCAAAGAGCCCTTTCTTGTATCTTACCATAGATCAAAATACATGTGTATCATGGACAGGTTGAGTTAATATATCTATTTTCAACAGAAGATGTTAATTTCAAAAAAGTTTGTCCACAAAACAAAATTTCTCATGTTTAGACTTTTAGAAATTGGAAAACACACTTGTATTGATACTGTGGTGGGGTAGGGGTGGGAATGAGCAGTTAGGATGTTCCTTACACAAGTTTTTCCCCAAACTGAACCTTGTCCTAACTTACTCTTGGAAGGTACAATGCCACTGTGGGAAAATGCGAGAAGACTCACTAATGTAGACTAATAAAACCAAAGCAAAAACCCACTACTATCAAGTCAACTGCGACTCATACTGACCCCCATGGGGTTTCCAAGGCACTAAATCTTTATGGAAGTAGACTTCCCATCTTCCTTCTGTGGAGCAGCTGGTGGGTCTGAACTGCCAGCCTTCTGGCTAGCAGTCAGATGCCTTAGGCACTGTGCCTAGGAGATGAGACCATTAATCAAGATTTAAGTAAGAGGAAAATACAATGTGCATTTCACTGCATACATGTAGCCTATACTAATAGATAGGTTAAAGGGAAAAAGAAAAAAAATCCTGCCATTGAGTCGATTCCAACTCATAGCAACCCTCATTGGGTTTCTGAGGCTATAAATCTTTACAGAAGTAGACTGTCTCATCTTTCTCCTGTGGAGTGACTGGTGGATTCAAACCACTGACCTTTTGGTTAGCAGCAGAATGCCTTATCCACTGCACCACCACAGCTCCTTATATAGCTAGATAGATGTAGACATATAGATACATATACACAGAGGAAAACAGGTCAAATGGCTTTATTTTGCACAAACCATTTAATGAAATATAAGTCTAGAACTGTTTTTATTTTAAATGTTTTATTTAAAATGTTTACTTGCACACAATTCAGAAAAAAAAAATCTTGGGTTCACTGATACTGACAGGAGAGTTAACAAATTAGAAAAATCTTAGTTTGTATGTTACTATCATTGTACATAGGAACTCTGGTAGCGTAGTGTCTAAGGCACTTGACTGCTAACCAGAAGGCTGGTGGTTCAAACCCACCAGCCACTCCTCAGAAGGAAAATTGGGCAATGTAGTTCCATAATGATACTGCCTTGGAAACTCAAGGAGGGGTCACTATGAGTCAGGTCCAACTCAATGGCACATAACAACATCATTGTACATTATAATACATAATTTTGGTCCACCATCTTGACCATTTCATGTTAAGAAAATGTGATTAACATGCTTCAAAATAAGACTTTCATTGAGAATTATAATATAAACTACCTGAACTAAACAAAATAATTAAAATTTTTCTCTTACAGGGATCTGAAACAACATTCATGTGTGACTATGATGACAAGACAGCAACCATTGTAGAATTCCTGGACAAATGGATTGTCTTTTGTCAAAGCATCATCTCAACACTGACTTGATAATGCTTCCCATTTAAAATGTACTGGGCTTTCTATTTATTTAAATATTTAAATTTTATAATTTATTTTTGGATGAGTGGTTTGCTATCTTTTGTAACTATTATTCTTAAGTCTTCAGATGAAGAATATGGATCTTTTAAGATTCTTTTTGTAAGCCCTAGGGGCTCTAAAATGGTTTTACTTTAAATTATTTTATCTCAAACTATTTATTATTATACTGAATTGTTAAATATAATGTCTATGTCGACGTTATAAAATTATTTAATAAACTGATGAATCAAAACAAACCTTGATAATTGTTATTTTGGAAACAGCTAAGAATAAGCACTGAAATACTTGTGAATTACTTAGCAGAACTCTAAGAAGGCTAAGATACTTTATAAAGTCACTCTTCCCTTGAAGAGGTATGTAGAATAGGGCAACTGGCTTTTCCAAGGCCTTACTTTCTCCCTTTAAGAGCTGACCAGAACCTGAGTTCTGGTCTGAGAAAATCTCCTTATCACATTTTAATAGCTTCTTATCTACAAAATATTTTGAAGTTAAAACATTCTTGAAACACTTCATATAACTGGTGTGCCTTTCTATCTATTCTTTACCATTTTACACCTTGTTCTCTGCTGTCAAAAAGTTCACCTGTATGTCCTATAGGAAAGGCCATCCTGGTCCTCTGGCTTTCCAATGGGTCCTGCCACTGGAGTCTGATAGGAGCGTCTGGTAGGAGGTCTAAGGGATCCAGGACATTCTCCTGACTCCCTTCTTGTGGCATACCAGATGAAGGCTGTGCCTCTCAACCAAGGAACCCAGCTTCTCTCAAGTAGCCCTCTCAATATTTTTTTCCCTCTGGGCTCTGGTAACTTTTCCCTCCACTCCTGTTTTCCAGCTTAGGAATGGTAACACCTCTGCTGTTAGCAATTACCATTACTTGCCATTTCTCTACAACCTGACCATAGCTTTATAAATAGACCTTTTATTAAACCCTGCTTGAATTTTTCTAATGTGAATGTGCTGTCTATTTCCTTCTGGGACTCAGATGCTGTATTTGTACCACAGATAGTTCCAGGAAATAGACTCTCAAAATAGGATTCTGGGGTCGGGTTGTTATTATATTCAAGGAACACAGTGATAATAGGACATGAGAAATGTATGGAATGTAGTAGCATGGGAAGAAGTGCAGATGGCGGGCAAGGTATTGTGAGATGAAATGGCTGTGACATTTAGTTATTATAGCAAGAATTATTATAAAAATTGTGACTTTCACCTAGGTTCTTCTTATGGTCACTGGCAGAGAACACAGGTGGGAAAAAAAAAAAAAAAAAGCTACGAATATACAGTTAAATATATGCATGAAGTATCAGAAAGCACCCTTGGCAGTTTTGAAGGAGATCTTCATCTCTTGTAATCACAGAGAAGATAGGTCAGAGGACAAAGCCCAAGGTCTGATGCACAGTCTGCCAAGACCTAATGCCAATTAAAAATTTTAGCTTCCCAGGTCTCTTACAAAGCATAAGGAAGGAGAGGGACCCTGCGATATAAATATTTTTCCAGGCATAAAGAAAGCTGAGAATGTGGAACATCTCTTGTTGACAAAGGCAACCCCTTTTCCTCAATAGTATCCCTTCTGAAGAAAAACCCTTTTACTTAAAAGCCTTTAAATTACTCACAAACTAAGTGAATTTTTTCTTAGAATTCACATCTACGTTTTCTCATTGGGCCTAAAATGGGAGTTAAGACATTGGTGGGGCAGAGAGATACAAGGTGTTTAGATTTAGAAAGGTGAAAATTAAGCTATGATCTGATGATCTAATTGAAACAGATGCAACTGATAATGGGTCAAAATTAAATGACAACTTGCAAATAGCGTAATAGTTGAGTCTAAGCTTGGACTCCACAGTGGCCTATTGTTGAAATGCTGGACCTTCTCTAATCCTGTAAAAGAAGGAGTACAAAGGACCAACAAAATTGAAATGTTGGAATGGACCTATTATGTGTAATTTTCTCATATCCCCTGGGAAGACATTAAGAAGGCTTTGGTAAGGTAGATACTAGCATTCATGAGTTCTATGGTGACTTTCTTTATTACATCAGAAGTGATGATAGATAGTACTACAGTAGAATTGCTTTCTCTGACTTCATTGAGAATAAATGTCAGGTAATAGCACTTAACCCTCAGAGACAAGGTAGAAGCAATCACCACAATAAACCACAAAGTAGAGTTCTGATCAAAATTTATTAACCTAAATAAATATCTAAATGAGATTCCTGAAAATTAAATACAAAAGCAGGATACTTAAAGGTGACAAGACATATAAAGGAAGAAAATATTCTAATTCTGCTGGGCAGAAATGAATTCAAGTCACTAAAGCTGCAATTCATGGTCTGTTCCCAGACTTGAGCCACTTCACAGATCTGGTAGTACCCACTCTCAGGGGGAGAAGGCTAGATCTCTTTAAGGAAGGTCCCTGTAATAAGGCCACAGTTATATACTGTAAAAATTTCTCTAAGCTTTCTTAGTAGGGACATTTACAAAGAAGACCATATACTGAGGAATGAAAAATATCCAAATATTCTGGAGCTTATTAAATAATAGCTCTGAACTGACTCTATACTTCTGAAACTCCCCATTAGGAGCCACCAGTGGGGACTTAAGGGGGTTAAGTGAAAGATGGACCTTTAGCCTGAATCTATATCAACATAGTCCAAGGAGATCACAGACCAATCCTATAGTTTTCCCCCACAGTGGCCAAGGAGGTACACTTTTCAGCCTTCCCTTCAAGAGAACATTCTGCAAGGTTCAAGTTGACTGACAGTCTCTAGCTGTCACCATTTGCATTTACATGGCATAGGTAACAGAATACTTTAACTGTCTTTTCCCAGGGTACATTAGTCCTCCTGCTTTCTGTTACAATGTCACCTGGAGAGTGCTTGATCATCTTAATATTTCAGACAATATCATGGTTGTCCATTACATTGATGTTATGCTAATTGAATCTGGTGAACAGAAGTAAAAAGTAGGAGATGCGTTAGCAAGACATATGTGGGCTAAAGAAAAGGGATCTAAGTCCTATAAAAGTTAAGGGACCTGCCATAAAAAATGAAATTTCTAGGGGTCCAGTAGTTCCATGCAGGTTAGATTATTCTAAAGTAGAGGATAACACACTGCACCTTGAACAGTCTACTACAAAGAAAGTGGCACAAAGGTTGGTAGGCTTCTAAATTTTGTAAGTAATATGTGCTACTCTGACCCATTTTAAGGAGCTCTGGTGGCACAGTGCCTAAGATATTTGACTGCTAACCAGAAGGTTGGTATTTCAAACCCACCAGCCACTCCACAGAAAGAAGATGGAGCAATCAAGTTCCGTAAAGATTTACCACCCTGGAAACCCTGTATGGGTTGCTATGAGCCAGAATTGACTCAATGGCAGTGGGTTTGGTTTGGTGTTTCTGACCCATTTTGGGGGTAACCCATTAGGCCTCAGTGGTAGTTAAGGTTGTGTGTCAACTTGGCTGGGCCTGGTTGAGTGGCTGGGCAGCTAGTGGTAGTTATTACCCATGATGGGACTGGCAATCAGCTCCATAATGGGATCTACCACAAGCAGCAGGTAGCTGCTTTAGGGATGTGGTCTACTTCCCATATATAAGCAAAAGCTTTGGGAATGGTCTCTTGCCTTAGCCTTTTGGCATGCTTGAACTCTGCATGTAGCAAAGTCTTTGTTCAACAGCCTGCCATGCCCTGCTAATCTTAGGACTTCTTCTGGACTTGAATTAGTGGCCTGACATGTTGTTTGGTAACATTGGGACTGTGCCTTTTTACTTGTAAACCTTGGGCTTGCCAGCCTCAGCAGCCAACAGCTGTCTGAATGAAGAAAATCCTCAAGTTTTAATGGGCCAGAAGCAGGAGGCAGAGCTGAAGCCCAAGGTTGAGGGGCTTTCACCCAGCCCCTAGAGCCTGGCACTTTGAACTCGGACTTAAAACCTCCAAACTGTGAAAGAATAAATTCCTGTTTGTTCAAGCCATCCCATTTGTGGTATTTCTGTTAGAGCGGCACCAGGTAATCAAAACAGCCTCCAATTTTCATTGAGTACCAGAGTAAGAAAGGGTTCCATATCAGGTCTAGGCCTTGAATGTAAATTCCTTTGCTACTTGGGCTTTATGATCCATCAGACATAGTGGCAATCAGTGTTTGTGATAGACATGCTGTATAAAGTGCAGACCATTCCCTGCAGTAGGATGTCATGCTTGGTAAGGTGGAGGGTCGATGAAAGGGGGGGAAGGCCCTCAACGAGATGGTTTGACACAGTGGCTGAGGCTATGAGCTCAAGTATAGCAGGGATCACAGAGCTGGCACAGGACTGGGAGGTGTTTCATTCCACTGTGCAAAGGGTCGCTATGAGTCAGAGATGATACAATGGCACCTAACAACAACAATCTAAAGTATCTAGAAAGGGTCTCTATAGAATAATAACTACATGATCCTACAGTTTTAAGGAAAAGTCATGCCTATTCTGCACAAAATTCTTCCTTTAAAAACAAGACTCCTGGCTTGCTACAGAGTCCTGGTGGAGACAAACATCTGACCATAGGCCACCAAATGACTAAACCCACTGCTCAACTATCAGTATGGTTAGGTTCTAAAGAACAGGTTGTTATGCAAAAATTGGCCTTATGTAATAATGGAGGATGACTACTTCATTACATGATGGCTTAACTACATCATTATGTAACAACCATCAAACCACTGGGAATCATGGCCCAGCCACGCGGACACCTGTGTTAGACTGGGCTCTCCAGAGAAGCAAAACCAGTAAAGCTTATATATATAGAAAGAGAGAAAAAGAGTAATTTATCTTAGGAAAATGGCTCACACACTTATAGAAGCTGGCAAGTCCCAAGTTCTTGGATCAAACATCAAGCTGGAGGCTTTTCCCAACTCTCGCAGCTGCAGGGGCTGAGGAGCTCAAGGTTGACAGGCAGTATACTGGCTGTTGACTCCAACAAATGA